TGTTCAATGTAATTTTGAAATCCGCGCAAAGTCTTACAGAACCGTCACTTTTCATAATTGGTACAACCGGTGTGCCCCATTCACTGTATTCCATTTTAGTTAACACTCCTATTTCTTCTAGTCTATCGATTTCTCTTTCCACTTTTTCCTTCAATGCATAGGGAACTTTTCGAGCAGGAACATAAATTGGTTTTGTATTGTTTGGTAAAAATAATTTAGCTTTATAATTTGAAATTTTTCCAAGACCTGGTTTAAAAACTTCTGGAAAATTATTTTTAAGTTCTTCTATAATTTTTAATTTCAAGAAATCTGGGATATTTTCATTTTGTAATTGACAAATTTCAGGTAAATCGACTTTAATTTTCTGCATCCATTCTCTCCCGAAAATAGGTTCAACTTTCCCTGGTAAAATATATAAATTTAGTAATTCAATTTGATTATTTAATTCAACCTGGAAAGTTGAATAGCCGATAGGTCGAATTATTTCTCCAGTGTAAGTTCTTAAAGGTAAATTTGTTTTTTGCAATGTTTTTTTTGAAAATTTTGCGTTAAACAAATCTTGTGAAATCGATGAAACTGCAGCGCCTGTATCATATTCAAATTTAATGGATTCTCCATCTAATTGAAGATTTAAAAGAATTTTGCCTGGTTTTTTATAAGCCTCAGGTGAGCAATTATTATCTAGTAGGTACGTTCATAAAAAATAATTCTTCATGCTGAAAGTTGTTTTCCATTTCCTCTGGTTCTTCTTCCACTTGATGAACATTTTCTCTCCTAGGAGTTCCCCTGCATGCCTTAAACACGTGACCATATTTTAGACATCCTGTACACTTTGAATTTTTGTGCTTGCATGTATTTGCCAAATGTTGTGGATCACCGCATCTGTAGCACTTTCGTTGAAAATTTAACAAATTCGAAGGAGATATGTTTTTTTGTTGTTGTTCAGGTTTAAATGAAATTTTTTTAATTTGATTTTGAAAAGAAGTACTCGCACATGTTTGTAAAGAATGTATTTCTCTGGAATCTTTTTGTGCTAATTCCATAGTTAGTGCTGTATCAACGCAGTTTTTAAATTTATTATCTGGTTCTTTAAGTTGAATTAGTCTTTCAATTAAATTAGAATTTCGCAGACCACTAATGAACTGAAGACGTAAATGGGCATCAGACGTCGAAGCTTTGCAAGCATCACAGACAAACTTACAATTTGTCGTCATCTTTTTTAATTCAGTTACGTAATTTGCAATAGTTTCCCCTTCTTGTTGGACACGTTTTGTAAAACGGTTTTGCTCTGCGATTATACTTGAAGAAGGATCAAGATGGTTTTGTAAAAGAGAAACCAAAGTCGTATAATCTTTAGATTTAGGATCATCGGGACATGTTAAAGAGTGAATAAGTTGTAGCGTTTTGGTACCCATCATGTGAAGTAACCATTCTTTCTTTTTAGTATCAATATAGTCTGCGGAACCAGTGAAGTTCTTCATGGAAAAAAAATTGTCTAACCTTTTTATGAACATCTCTCAACTTTCATTTTCTTCTGAGAATGGATCTATTGAAATGGATTCTTGAGTAATTGGAGTAGTATTTTGATTAACTTGTAGAGTCTTTGTAAGTGCAGCCATCAAAGTATTAAATTGTTCAGCATTCATTGTAAAAGGGTTTCTTCGTCCTCGTCGCCAATTTATTATGTATTTACTTTGATTATGGAAGTACAGTATTTGAATAGCAGATATGATAAGTTTACTGACTATTTAATATGAACTTTATTTTCACATACTCTGACATAATGACATACAACAATTAACTGGTAAAGGTGAACAATATAATTTAGTGCATAGTGGACACTACAAAAACAACTAGGTATCTGGTACCACCAGGCCTAAAAGTGAATAATGGTTTATGCATTGAAAAGATTCAGAGACGTCGTCAAGGACGTATATAAAGGGGGGGTTTTGGGGGTTCGAACCCCTCTCCCCATTGAATTAAATATTTTTTTTTTTTTTTGGAGAAAAATAAACGTCTTTGGGCGAGGTACCCAAAAAAGAATTTCGCCTTTGACGATATCCTGGGCTTCAGAGCTGTGTGGTACTCGGGTACGGTACAAGTACTCTTCACTTGTATTCTAAGTAGGTACATTTTTAGTAACTCGGTACTCAGGCCAAGATACTTTCTGAATCACGTACTTCCACTCGTGCATTGAATTGAATGAGTAAATTTCAAAATACCCGCGTACATGCGTTTTTACTCGATAACATTTGTTATACCAGGGTATTTGCATTGTTTTCGAATACATTTGCAGTTACTGAGTAAAACTATTGGACTCTAAGTACATATTTATTTGGCCACAAAGTACATTTCCAGACAAGTTAAGACCTGACATTATGTTACGATATGACCAATTTTCAGGAATTTCTTGTTTAGCGTACAGATGCTTACCATGCGTTCTGTTGAGCGTTATCATTTGCATACGAAAATTTTGAACTTTTCTGTACACTGTGACATTGTGTGTGTGACCATAAATTTGGAAATTCTGGACCCTTATAAACTCTGGACTCTGGCTAACCAAATCAAACTTCAAAATGCTGTATTGATTTAGTAAACCAAAATGTGTTTTTCAATTTTTGATGTGTGAACATCTATACTGGCGGTTTGATGGTGAATTTCGGGAAATGGGACGGAAATGTGAAAGGCGAGGTGACGTCATAACCCATGTGCAATGCTAAGTTCGCAGCTACCTCAGCGTGTGCGGCCTCTGAGGTGTCATTAGATTTTCATGTCAATGATCAAGACTGTTTTAAAAAGGAGGTTGCGTAATAACTTGTACCTATGACATCATTGGGTATGCAAGGTGGCATTAGAATGTATTCATAAATGTACTCGGTACTTTGAATACTTGGGTATTGAATACTTGCAATTGTACTTTGTAATCGAGAACATTTTAAGCTAAGTACGTGTACCCGGTACCCGAGTACATTTTGCCTGTACTCAAAACAGCTCTGGCTATATGCTACGCCCGGTCACTTATACATTGTCTGGTCTAAAATTGAAAACCCTTCCAGCATATTCCACGAGCCGCCACTGCTCTAAACCCCCCCCCCCCCCCCCCCCCATGTGAAAGCTATAGCTAGGTCGTTGGACGTCTTTAAAACATCTCGTTGAAGACGCTTAAGAATGACTTACTCTTAAAGACGTTTTTAGGCAGACGTCTAGAAGACGTTGGGTTTTGTAACATACGACGTCTTCAACACGTCTTGAATGTCGTTTGTGGACATCTTAGGGACGTCCTTTAAGATCTCTACAAAAATTTCCCACAGCAGTTTCTCATTTAACTTGGAAGTTACTGGTGTGAAACCACCTATATATTTCTAATGGTTCTAAAATAAGTCAGCATGCTTCTTGCTTTCTAGCAGCAAGTCGCACGTCGCACGCTACTTTGGTGTGAATGCATGCTCACTAAGTATTTCAGAATGTATCACTTGTATTTCAGATTCATCATTCTAGTACAGAATGCATCAATTGTTTTCCAGTTGTGTTGTTTAATTTCAGAAAGTGTGATTTGTATGTCAACTTTGTCAGTTGTAGTTCAGAAAACATCATTTGTGTTTCAGATTGGTCAGATGTATTTCAGAAAAAGTCATTTGTATTTCAGTTTGGTCACTTATATTTCAGAAAACGTCATTTGGGTTTCAGATTATTTATTTGTAGATCAGAAATTGTAAATTGTATTTATTTCAGATATTATCAAATGACGATGTAGTGTATTAAATAAAATTTATATAATGAGTCACCTCTACATCGACCTACACTTATCTTGTGTTGATTTGGGAAAAATCTGCGTAGATAGGTAGGTACCTACCTGATGATTTCTGAAATACATTTGCGACAGTTTCTGAAATATAATTCACGTTTTCTGAACTACAATCAACTAATCTGAAATACAATTGACTCTTTCCTAAATAAAATTAACTAGGTAATCTGAAATACAATTGACGCTATCTGAAATTAAACTGACGATCACTGAAATACAAATGGAAAAGATGTACTTACCTAGAACTTTAGAATCAGCATTTTCAGGGGCATTTTGGAAAAATTGTGGCTTCAATATCCAATAGGACTCTAAAATACTTAAAAATCTCTCAGAACAATTTAGAAATTACTTGAAAACTTCTAGAATGCTCCAGAACTCTTCAAGCCAAGTTAGAACACTTTAGAACTTCAATAAGACATTAAGAATGTTCCAAAACAGTTTCCACTTTCCAACAGCATTTTAAAAGGCTTCAGAACAATTTAAAAACCTCAGAACTATTTCAGAGAGCCTAGCGCCAGGAATAGACAAAAATTTACAGTTATCAAATGAGTCATTATAAGGAGATATAAGCAAGAAAATGTTCCTCTTTCAATTCAAATTCTTGAATTTTCATTAAAATTTTTTTTTTCCAGGATCTTGATTTTTCTTTATTCTCAGTTCTCGACTTTTTTCATTCCAAGTTCTTGAATTCTCATTATTCCCTCTGGCAACTAATCAAGCTTTTCCTTTTTCGATAGTTTTCCTTTAGAGTCCAAAATTATTTCATGTCTAATTTTCTTTCTGTTTGGGTTTTTGTTCTGTTAAAATCAATATTTCGATTTCAATAATAATTGTGCCTCAATTTAATTTCATATTTCATTGCTCGAGATGGTATGATGACATGCAAAAAGGTAACTGAGAAAATATGGATATCCATTATCCAAAACAAGAGAAAAAGGAGGCATTTTTCCCTACATTCTTCATACGTAAAAAGCTGGCCAAAAAGCGAGATAGATACGAGTGGGTATTGGCACAGAATCAAAATGTAAGAAAAACAGGAAAAAACAAAAAATAAAATGGAAATATTCAAGATAAGCAATATCCAAGAAAAGTGCAAGCAATGAGAACTTTGGAAATGAGACAAACCCAAAGAATTATTAAAATGATTTTGAAAAGATTGACGACTATGATGCTGGGATTTATAATAAATACAAAATAAACAAAAATGTCCTAAATACGTTTATTTAGTAAAATTTATAACATTTAAAAGATACATATTTTAATTTCACTTGTCCTCAGGTTTGGAGAAGACCAGTGTGTATCCGCATTTTCCGCAGTAATGACGGTCTTCCATTGCAGCCATGAAAACACCAGCACCACATTGTTCAGCGGGACATTCCCTCCTCAATCTATGGATTTTACCATTTTCATCAACCTAAGAAAAAAATTATATAAATATTCATACAAAAAAAAAAAACAACTCAAGTTCTTACTTTATAGAATTTCAATACAGCTAACTTGACCTTCTTCTTCTTGTGCTTGATCTTCTTTGGGGTAGAGTAATTCTTCTTCTTACGTTTCTTGGCTCCACCTCTAAGTCTGAGGACCAAGTGCAAAGTCGACTCTTTTTGGATGTTGTAGTCGGACAAAGTGCGTCCGTCCTCCAATTGTTTGCCGGCAAAGATCAAACGTTGCTGGTCTGGAGGGATTCCTTCTTTGTCTTGGATTTTGGCCTTGACATTTTCAATAGTGTCTGATGGCTCGACCTCAAGAGTGATGGTCTTACCAGTCAGAGTTTTCACAAAAATCTGCATATTGATTGGTGAACTGGAAATAATCATTTATAAAAATAAAACAATGTAAAATAATTTTATAAAATGTTTATTGTTTAAACTAAAAGAACAGCGTTTATACAACCATCATTCTCAGGATTATTGGTGACTTGAGCGTATTTACCCCAAACAACTTTACCAGTTTGAGTTACCAAAGCTAATTCGGAAATATTAACTTCTATAACTGTACCCTTAGTAATAACCCCTAAACTAGTAAACATTGGTGAACTTGGATTTTTCTTAACACCAATAATTGGCAGGTGGAAGGTGGCTTTAAGTTCGGGATGTGTAACGTGGGCTGTTTTGAAACGTAAGGCCATTGGGCGAATGAATCTTTCAAATTTTGGTGGTTTTCTTGTGAAACCTTCACCAACAAATGTAACTTTGGTGACCATACGTTTCCAAGCCTTTCTTTTGGTTTTTCCTGACTTGACAATTTTCAATACTTCAGCATCAGCTTGTGCTCGTACTTTTGGTATTGGAACATCCCATTTACCAGCTTTTTCCTTCCTCTTTTGTTTTATCATGTTGGAAAGTACTTTAGCCCTAGATTTGACGTCACGGTCTAACAAATAAACAGGCAAAGCCCCCTCGGCGACTTTTTCTGAAACATTCTTTGTTTTCTTCTCTTCGTGCGCCTTAATTTTCTTTTTCATTTGGATCTTTTCATTGCGACGCTCCTTGTTGAACAATTTCGCTTTTATGCCGCGCAGACTGCGGGCCGTTTCCGCCCTCTTGTGGGGCTCACGGGCCTCACGTTTTCTCTTTCTCTCTTCATAATCGAGCCTGCGACCGTGCAATTTGCGATGACGCTCGATATACTCGTTTTGTGGCATGATGGTTTATTTGGTGGATTTTGTTGTAACTAGAAAGAGAAACTCGAATTATGTTTTTAATTGATTTCTAGTGAAACTTGACAACTTTCTATAAATTAGTTTTGGAGATACTGGATGATATAATAATTAATAAATAGGAAATAATTTAAAACATTTTGTCTAAAAAAATAAAAAATGTTTCTCTTGCTTGCTTGCATAGTATTTTTTTTTAGAACAAGTTTTCAGGTAGGTACATACTGCTACCTGCATACAATGAAACATTAAAAAATGTCTTCAATTCAAAATCAGATTTCATATAAAGTTTGCATAGTAATCATTAAAAACATAATTTATTTTTCAGCTTCACAACAAAATCCCCAAAAACCTTTAAAACTTCAATAGGGATACTACAAGGGTAAATTGCTTTGTAATAAATTGAAATCAACAATTTGTTTTCCAGGATTTCTTTAAATTGTTAATGCAAAAAAGCACAGGAATGATGGTTGTAAAACGTTTCCTATTATTCAAACACCCTGTATCTCCCAAACTGACCATAGAAAGGTCAATGTAGAACAAATTGGGGCGCAAAAAAAGTACATATAGAGGAGTAATTTGGTTTGAGAAGTGAAAACAAAATATAATGTTGGTACTTTAAGCCTGAAATTACATGTTTGAATAATTTTGGTTCTTTAGGCTTTGAAATAACTCTGAATTAAGATAAATAGAGTGATTTGCTAATTGGGATAAATAGAGTGATTTGCTGAAACTATAGGCTCTGTCTTGTGCATCCAAAGTTCGTATTTCTAATTTATATTATCTAGTGCAATTAGTGCAGGATAGAGCAAGCGTACAAATGAATAGTAAGAAATTGTGGAAACACTGGAAAATCAATCAAGATGTTAGGTTACATTGTACAAAATCATCTAAGCAGCTGGGGATTTTCAGAAAAATTAATAAATCACCAATAAAAAATGCAAATACAGCCAAAACTAGGTTCGACCACCGAATAAAATTGAAATTAATCGAAAAAACACCCCAAAAAGAAACGTGCAACGTGATGCCCAAAGCATGGCAAGAAGTACTCGACGTTATTTTGCAAAAAATACCCGACTATCCAGTCTAATTTTCATAAAAATATAAAATCGGGATACAAAACAGTTCAGACCACACAATAATCGACTTAAAAACTAATATATTTACCACGAAAATTAATAAAATAATCAAAAACTCGACACTCACATTTTATTCCACCATGGAAGATTCCGAAAAGAAACGCAGGATGGCGGAGGCGCTGCAAGTGTTGTCAACAAGTGACAGATTTGAAAGAACTGTCAGCAATGAAATTTATGGGGGAGGGGTTATATTATAGCGTTTTCCACACTTTCCATTTGTCGAACCCAATGGTCGAACCAGTCCAAAAAAAAAATGTATCCTTATCCTTACATGTTACATGCTTTTAGAGAGAGATGCGGATACACTCAGAGCGCACTGATTGACAAATGGAAATCGCCATTAGTTGTATTCCTTTCACACCTAGGATGAGCTCCGGAATAGCTACGGAGCGTCACGCGCTAAATCCTTCCGAAATGTGATTGTTGCCCCTGAGTGCTCAAACCTGAATCAAACCATTTAAACGCATGAAAAGTTGTATTCTTTTCACACCAGTAGGAGTTCCAGAACAGCTCCGGGGCTTCACGCGCTTATTCCTTTCGAAAATTGTTTGTTGCACCACGCATCTGTTCCCTGCAAATCGGGGGCTACTAAGCACCGGAGCGAGTAGCTCGAGTGTTTCAAACTCTTGAAAGGAATACAACTATTGCCAACGCATCTGTTCCTTTCAAATCGGGGTCGACTACCACCGGAGCTCTAGTGTTCTAAACTCTTGAAAGGAATACAACTATTAGCTGCGTTCGAAAACTCATAAAATCAAAACTCAACTGCACTCCGTGTTAATAAGTGTAACACTTTTGACACCGTTTATTTACGTATTTAATGATGTGGCTGGCTGTTGTAGGGCCAGAGCACTTGACCAAAAAGGACTGCTTATTCAGCTGAAACTGTCTGGCTATTTCCACGCGGCAACTCCCCACTATTTGTGACAAAAACCCAACTGCACTCGATGCTAAAAAGTGTAACACATTTTACACCGTTTACTTATGTGGTGATGTAGTTGGCTGGTGTAGTGCCAGAAGTCGAACAGGCCCAGTTGAACTTCGGTTCAAAACAAAAGGTTTGTTTGTTTATGTTGTTCGGGGTAGCAATTCCTGCTCTGGGGCGTTCTTTTGTGAGCTTTTTATATGGATTATCTGCCATAAACCGAATTTTCGCGAATGTAGTTCATCAATAGTTCATTTGTAACGTCATGAGTTTGAACGATGGCTTGAAGTTGCGTCCATGCTTCCGGCGAACTACGTTTAATATGACATCATGAGTTTCTCGTGAAAGCGTTTGAGTTCATGGAATCATGGAAGTAGTTCGTCGCGAAAATTCGGTTATAATCTGAAATATTACAGCTTACCCTGCGTTTTTATTTTCATCAAATTTTACCGATGGATACACCATTTTATTTGGGTCATTGTCATTTTCCATTAACTAAACAAAGATAGCTAACTCATCGGTGAAGTCACCGTTTTTTTAGAATAAAAACGAGGTGTTAGTTCCAGTTCAAGTTAACTCAAGTTAGTTAGTTAGTTAGTTAGTTAGTTAGCTAGTTCAAGTTAGTTGAAGTTCAGCTGAAAGTGTCTGTCATTTGCATGCGAAAACTCCCCACGATTTGTGACGTCAGCCGCAGACCTCAACTGTTGGCGTATGGCGTAAAATGTATTTTTCGAGATTAAAAGATTATGGGCTTTGCTATTGGTCAAAAAACGAATTCCTGAACGTTAAAATCACCTTTTCTACATTCAATAACAACGGAAAAATTAATTCACAAGCAAAGTCTCAATCGCGTCACTCGCACACCTACTGGTGACTCGAGAACGTGAGGTGTTTTCTGGCGACTAAAATATTTCAAAACGTTTTTTAGAACTAGTTTAAAACAGTGTCACACGACGTCATTACTTCTTGGTACGAGGAAAAAACAGCTATAAACCTTTTCACGAGGCTCCGGTTTAACAAACCGCAACATACCGCTCAAATTCGGTATGTCATACTTGACATACCACTAATAACTGTTTTGTAACCCGGTTAGTTTAAACCGGACCACGTGAAAAGGACTTATGGTTTGCACTATGGGCGCATATTTACAGTGAAACTTCTGAAAAGCTTGAACAGCAAATTGCGAACCCAGTAGTCATAAGACGCTCGTTTCCAGAGGGTCAGTTCGAACTGCACTACAGCTATTTTTAAACGAACGAAAACGTCAAATAATTGTTCTCGGATAAAATTTGAATCATTTATCATTAATCTCGATGTTGAAATGTTGAATGTGAAATAATTAATAGGCGAGTTTGGTTAATCCTCTGCAAGGATGATGCACACTACTACAACAGGATAGCCTATCCTCATAAGGCCAGCGTAAAATAAATCCCCCCCTCACCCCCCCCCCCCCCCAACCATTCCAATTACCAGTTGTGACGTAGGCAGCATCTTATTTCTGGCCTTGACGTAGGATTTTAGAGCAGGTGAAGCGCTGTCCTACATCAGGAGTAGGAACGTGCCATTCTGCTTTGAAAAAAGTGAAGCCAGTTCTAAGCAGGTGTTTTTACACCAAATAACCAGTAAAGCATTGAATTAGCTATACCGCCATTATTTTGGATCTCAAAATACCTGAAAAAAAAACTGCTTCAAATTCCAACTTCATGTTCCTACTCCTCCCACCTAGGAAATTAACTTCTCTAGCGTAGGATGTTCAAACAGCTGACGACTTAGTTATGACCAAGGTTATTTGAGAGAGGTAGTTTGCCTGATAACTGTTCGACGTCATTTGGGGTGCCTCAACATAATGCAAATCTCCATAAGGCACCCAAGATGCGTCTCAAGTTACCCATCACCAGACAACCTATTAACTTTAGGAACCTTGGTTGTGACGTCGGAAATGGTGACACACTAATAGGGCGGTGTTTACCAAAAACGAGGCCGATAAGCAATCCTGTAGGTGTGTATCATCCTTAATAGAACACGTGGGGCTAGTCCAAGAAAAGTACACACTCTAGAAGTGCTTATCGGCCTCGTTTTTGGTAATCGCCGCCATATTGGTGTGATACCATTTCCGACGTCATAACTGAGTCGCCAGCTGGTTAAACAGCAAACGTCAAGGCGAGAAATAATATGCTACCTACGTCACAACTGGTATTTTGGGGGGGGTTTGTTACACACAGGCTTTATGAGGATAGGCCATTCTGTAGTGGTAGTGTGCATCATCCTCGGGGCTAGTCATCTTTTCGCAAGGATAATACACACCACTAAGGATTGCTTATCGGCCTCGTTTTTGGTAATCGCGGCCATAATGGTGTATCACCATTGTCGTCATCATGATACCTAAGTCGTCAGCTGTTTGCGCCAGCGGTTCTAGTTTAGAATTTGAATTTATGATGAAAAATATCATTTAATTTTGATTAACATAATAGGCAAAGAGGAGATGCGAACGAGATCTCAAAAGGAGTTGTTTTGGAATGTTAATTAACGTAAGTAAGACCAAGTATGCAGCAAAAGCCCGCGGAATCATAGCCTGTGGTGCCAACAGCCTACATCCTGCTCACGTCACAACTGGTGATTAGGCGTGGTGTGAGCTTCATATTTGTTCTACACAAGCCTTATGAAGATAGGCTATCTTGTAGTAGTAGTGTGTATTATCCTTGATCTCGCCTAATTTCACTAGTTATTTTGGCGCTATATATGATTGACCTATGAAACTTCAAAAATTACAGTCGACGTTCATCCGTAATAGATTTTCGTATTACTAGCTCGTGTCGTGACGACTTCGAAATCTTACTTCAAACGCGCGTTAAGAAGTTTCGCTTCAAAATCTTGAATTCACAAATTTAAATGAAATTACATTCGAGCGCTAAAAAACTATATATTTCAAATTTTTACATAATTTAAAAGGAATAAAATGAAAATAAACTAAACTAAATACAAAAATTGGTAGGTCATGTGATTTGGTTACTCGTACGTTGCGGTTACGCTAAGTACAGATTGGTCCAAGATTCGTAAACTAACAGAATTGCTCATCCTAATAAAGATGTACGTTCGCCAATTTTAGAGTCGGCAGGGGTTGCGAGTGATGTCACCACATCAGCATAGCCTCAGCATAGCTATTTGTGGTGACGTCACCAGCAGACCTCCTCGATTCTGATTCAGGCTGTGCTTGTTATTAAATTTTTTCGTCGATTTTAAATATAGAAGAGGTGATTTTAACAATATTTTAACGTTTAGGAATTCATTTTTTTGACCGTGTTTTAAATTCGGATTCTTGGATAATGCATTTTACGCCAAGAGTTGAAGTCGGCGGCTTACATGTTTGACACTTTCAGCTCAATAAGCAGTCCTATTAAAGCCGTGTTGGGCAAGTCATCTTTTTTGTCGATTTGCTCCGAAATTTTGACAAGCACGGGCACGTGGTTTGTGAATTGAAACTGTCTGATCCAGTTACGTGCCTTTCAAAACTTCGGAGCAAATCGATGAAAAAGATGACAATGCCAAACACTGCTAGGCTGCCTTATCTTACTCCTCCTCGAAAGCAGATGCAGGTTGAACATGAACTAAACAGTTTGGTACAAACTGCACCTCACAAATGAACGCTGGTCAGCGTCAGTTCATTGCCATAACACAAACGAACGCCCCGAAGCAGGAAGTGTTGCTCCGAACAACACAAAAAACAAACCTACTACTACAGGATCAAGGATATTACACACTACATAGGAAAGCATGTGTTCTTGAGGATGGTCCAATTTGAACACTTATAATCAGGAAATGTCAAATTCTGAGCAAGATATAAAAAATTAACCCCCCCTCCCCCATTTTGAGGCTCAGATTTCATGAAATGATTGGTGCAAATTACATTTTGATATTTTCAACTGTTTTGCCACTGGCGTTTCTCGACTTTTGCCTCAAAATTCCAATCGATTGATCAAAATGCGATCCGGAAGGGATTCACATGTTCGGCGTCAAACGGAGCGTTGCTATCGGCAGGATTCACGATTAACGTGTTCGACTTGTGCCACAGAACGCTCTCAATTTTCGCAACGGAGCTCTTTTTGTTGCTCCGTCATTTGAACGATCAAAGAGTTTGATCAAACCGTTTAAAAGTACGTTCGGTTATAGATTTCGAACGGTGTGCCCTCGTTCGGATTATAATCGCTCTCGGCGAAGCAATCCCGCAGAGATTTGTGACGTCACCGCTTAACGGGAAGCGCTTGGGATTCGTTGGGAGTAGTTTTAGGTAGCAGTAGGTAAGCTTGAAAATTGTTAATAGCTTCATATTTTTTGTAGATATTCGATCGATATTCATAAGTATCGATACTATAGTTCTTTTCACGTGGCTCCGGTTTAACTAACCGGGTTACAAAACGGTTAGAGAAATGACATAGCGTTTTCTAACCCGGTTACAAAGTGACGTGATGGATACCTACCACTCGAATTTGAGCTGTATGTTGCGGTTTGTTAAACCGGAGCCACGTGAAAAGGTTTTATATTCTTTCAAAGTTTTACTTCTTTTTTATATCGATTTCAACATGAGAAAATATCGATACTTTCGATACGGCATTTCATATTTCCGATTTTTTTGTGCCTGAAATTTGGCGAAATAAAGAAAATTCCAGAGCCTGGAATGGAATGGGGAAACATGAATCTCCTCATCTTTTTTTTCTACATTTCTTCTCTAGTTAATTCTCAGTTTTTCCGTCTCAATCTTTGTCTATTCCCGGCTCTTGAATTTTCGTCTTCTTCTAAATTTCTCTAAGGGCCGATTCATGCACCTTCTGATGAACTGTGAGTACCGTACCGAAGAGGATCGCTCTGGGAGCAGGAGGAGTGAAAGACACAAGAGAACTACAAGATACAAAATACAAGAAATTCGAAAATTTTGTAATTGTAAATTGTAAGTTGTATCCTATATCCTTTAATATTGGGTTACAGTATTGATACCATTGCGGAAATGCGACAGTTCCATCGAATTTGACGGAGCAAGAAGGAGCGGCTCGTGCGAGATTTGAGAGCGTTCTATTGCTCAAGTCGAACGCGGGAACAGCCGAGAGCAACACTTCCTTTAGCCGAACATGTGAATCCATTCCGATCGTTTGATTAATTGAGTGCAGTTTTGAGCAAAAGTCGAAAGCGCTATTAAAATTATAAATCGAATTGATTTTTGTCTCACCCATTTCATAAACCAAACGAGGACAGAAAATAAATATTCCAAGCGTTACCTTTCAAATTTGGACCAATCAGATAAGCAGCTCGCCTGAGGCTTGGCGTCCTTTCAAAATTACGTTGTTGTTTATGAAAAAAGTTTGTTGGGGTCTCTTGTATAGTCTTCGTGTGGTTCCAGATTGTAATTTAATTTACCAACGTTTCAATTATTCGAATAGGTAAAATAATAAACAATTTTTGAGTGGAAATTAACAAGGTAAAAAGCTTTCTAGGCATGTTTTGGGACTGTTAACCTTATCGTGGGAACTTTTTCATTCAATTATTAGAATTCCCATTTATAGGGGCCCACACTCCATTTTTTATTATGAGCGTCTTTCAGTCTTTCACGAGGCATATTTATGTATCATTTAGATATTTTGTATCAGTTGAACTTCTGCAAAGTAATTGTAATAAGCTCCTGCAAAAAACTGTTTGAGATAAACTGGAAATTTGAGTAAATGTATTTAATATTGTACTAATTTACTTTTGGTACTTTCCTTCATGAGCTGCAAAATAGGACAAACCTTTTAAATATAACAAAAAAAAAACACATTGATGTGGTTTTAGTTTATTTCATTTCATACCCTTTCCTTGTACCTGCTCCAATCAGTACCAGTTCAAAACCCATTCAAAGTATGTCAAATACTTGTCTCTCTGTTCTACAACTGGTTCAAAATAAATCTAACATTGCATCAAAAACACATTTCAGCTAAAATGGCTCCACCAAAACCAAAAAAAGCCGCCACAACCAAAGTGACACCTGTTAATGAACCAGATCCGAAAACTACAGTTAAAACTTCTCCTAGAAGGCCAAAAAGCCCTGGAAAACCAAAAAGTCCTGGAAGGCCAAAAAGTCCTGGAAGGCCAAAAAGTCCTGGAAGGGTAAAAGCTCCTGGGAAGCCAAGAAGTCCTTCAAAGCCAAATGCTGCTAGCAGTCCTAGCACTAAAAGTCCCTCGCGAACCAAAAGTCCTGGTAGGCCTAAGAGCCCAGCAAGATTGAAAGCTGGAGCGAGTGGTGAGGCATTCAAATCCCCTCCTACAACAGCAACATCGATCCCAGATTCTCCAAGAAGAAGCAGCCGAGTTAAATATTTAACTCCTACAATGAGGAGCCCGATAAGATTTTCACCCTTAAGATATAGTAGCGAAAAGGAAATCGCTAAAACTGAAAGTGGGATTGCTAGGAAGCACCAGATCGTCATTGAGTCGGATTCAGAAGCTGACGAATTACTTGAGTTGAGAGAAAAACCCAAAGCTGCTGTTCGAGGACTGTCCAGAAATGATTTAATTGAAAAAGTAATTAACAAAAATTTTATAATTAATTATAAATCTATAAGTATATTTTTCTAGGTTGAATTAACAAGAGATCCGTCAGTAGAATCCACCAACAGCTCACAAGTCTCAAAAAGAATCACCAGATCTCAGTCATTTCAAAGAGAAGCTGAAAAAGTGTTTCATTCGAAAAGATTCAGTACTCTTATTGCTGCAAAACTTTCAGAGTTTTCAGATGAAGATGAACTATTGATGAAACAATCAACTGCAACAAAAACTGGCAAAATTTACGATTACGGAGGCCCTGTAGGAGTTTCACTGTTGCTGATCTTTCTTCCAGCTGTGGGATTTTTCCTTCATACAGCTTGTAACAAAAAAAGTTGCACTTTCAGTAGCTTGCCCAATGATTTGGGTAACTTTTCAAGTTTGTCCGCTTACTTTAATTTGGAAGTTTCTTTAGGGTATTTGGCCTATGTTTCTTGGTTGTTTATCTTGAGCGCTTTGCCTTTTGGCGGTAGCAAAATTACAAGTTTGCCAGATAAAAATGGAGTTTTCGTTCACGTTAACAATGGATTATTTACAGCAGTAGTCACACTGGGTTTGATGTTTTTGCTTGAATATATGCATATTCCTGTTGTGAATCGTATTTTGGATAATCAGTTGCAATTGTTTATTACTTCACTGGTTTTAGCAGTTTTTTTGAGTATTTTTTCTTACATCAGAAGCTTTTACGTGCCGAGCAGTGCCCTCAACCCACATGTTGTTGGCAAAAATAAACTCTACAGCTTTTTCATGGGCAGAGAGTTGCATCCTAAAATTTTCAAGGTTGTTGACTTGAAAATGTTTCTTCAGAAACTCGTTTTCATTTCTGAGTTGGTAATCATTGTTGCGTGGATTTTCAACCGTTATCAGGCAACAGAATCTATTAGGGAAGAAGATTTAAAAACTAGATTATCAAAGCTCCAGTCTACTTTTGTCGTCTACAGTTTGCTGCAGTTATTGTATGTTTTTGATGGTTTGGTGTTTGAGAAAGCCTGGGTCACTTCCAAGGAAATACAACAAGAAGGTGAGTTATTGTACATCAAATACATATTTTTATAGAATGCTAATTTTTTTTCTTAATAGGTTTTGGGTATGCAATGAGTGTATCCTATTTGATATATCCATTTTTGTCGTCAGTTGCCATCAAATTTATAGTGGAACACAATGTGCAATTAGCTTATTGGAAATTGGCTTCAATCGCTCTAACTTATCTCGTTGGATATTATATTGCTAGAAGTAGTAATAACCAGAAAGATGCTTTTAGAAAAAACCCTTATAATCCATCACTTTCTCGTAAGTGCTTCATTATAGTAAATTTCTAATTTAATAAGTAAATTTTTATTTTAGACTTGGAAACAATTCCTACGACTCACGGCAAAAAGCTCATCGCTTCAGGCCTGTGGGGTTTTGTCAGACATCCGAACTACTTAGGTACCATAATCTCCGAACTGTCTTTGGCTGCGTTCACTTTGTGCGCTCCTCCTGTATTTTTGAGATACTTGAATGTCATATTTTTGATTCACCGTGCTAGCAGGGACAATAATCATTGTAGACAAAAGTACGGAGCCGCTTGGGACCGGTACTGTAATAGAGTTAGGTACTTGTTGGTACCAAAGGTTTATTAAAGACTTGGTAGCTTTTTCTAGATGAATAGCAAAAAAACGTCCTATTTGCAAAAGACATACTTATTTTTTTTTTTTTTGAGAATATCGAATCTAGTTTAGACTATAAATCTAGAAAAATCCATAACTTTTTTTGTAGTATGTTAGTAGAAAAGAACATTTTAAAAATGACATGTAACCTTTATTTTTTGGTAAGTTAAAAAATGATTTTTTGTTTTTTAAATCATTTTAGTACTAGGGTAATCTTCAATAATTAGAGTTATTCAACGACATATCTATTTTTCTAAATTAATAATTATATGTAGTTTGTATTATAGAAAAAACTCAGATTATTGAGTTTGTGGAGGCAAGGATACGTTCTGATGCGTCAGGAAAACTTATTGGAATTGGATTTATGAACAAAGTTTTTTTGTATGTATTTATCAGAATTTGTAATTTTATCATAGTACGTAATTATTGATATGCAATCATTGGATCTCTTTAATTAGGTGAGAGTCTAAAAAAAGTCTCGTATCGTTATACATAATATTTTTTTTTTAATCAATTATTTCTATATTATGTGCCTTGTGACTAAGGTTAAGGCAAAAGAGTACAAAGTATTTTCTAAAATATCAGATTGCCATGAATTTGACCGCAGTGTAGTTGTTTTAGAATTATATAATATCAAATAAACATTTACATACAAAGTTTTCTTAAACTCTGATTAATTTGCAATGAAATTTGAACGTTTTAACTGTCAAATTACATTGCATGTAATGTAACCAGACTGAAGTGAACTTTATATGTACATACTTTATAAAGAACAAAATAATGTGTACCTTGGGTTATATTTGAAATGAAAATTTATTATTTATGGGACATAGATGTTGGGAATAATGTATCTATGATAATACGTAATTTTATTTTATTTTTTTTACAGAACAAAATTAATTTTTAATGTAATAAAATATCAGACGCTTTAATTATTAGGTTTTTTTTTTAAACCCCGAGCGTCTGAAATTTTGTTATTTTTCACATGTAACAAAGAAATGAGAGCCTTTTTACTGTAATTTTTTTGTGTTTATTGACATGGATTACCATTTAATTAACAATTTATTTGTATTTTAGTTGATAATTGGATTGAATAAAAACTTAAGATATACAAATTGATGTTTTTTTTTTTAAAAATTTAGAACCTGTGCTAAAGGCCAAAAGAAACTGAAAAGGTCTCTTGGCAATTTTACATCCAACATGTCCCAAAGAAGTTCCAGAAGAGTATCCACTCCTTTTTACTGGAATTCCCCAAAATTGGAAATTGAATTTTTCCGAAACCTTCTGATAAACTGTTAGGCATGCAATCTGACAGATAAAAACCTTATTTATAATCCCATTCCATTGGTTGGCCAATTATCCACCAACCAAAAGAATTATGTTTGGGCGGTTCCAAATAAACATTAATATTCAAAATCTCGACATGGAAAAATGTGAAATTTCAACATTTTTGGGGAAAGGTACCTATTCAAGTACTGGGCTCTACTAGAGCTAAAATTTGAGCTAATAAGGCATAAAAACTCTATTTCCGGCGCTGCTAATAGCAAAAATTGATCTGGCAAAGTGTGATTTATGATTATTCAGGAATCAAAGTTGGAGCTAAAGTGGTTCAGAAACGTGCTCACTTTAGTGTTTTTTATTATCATTCCTGATCCCAAGATGGCCACATGTCTGGACTGTAGTGTAAAAAAACCAATCTCTGATGATTGTGATGGAATTTCTGTTATCAGAATGTGATATCTACAAGAATGATTACTGTTCCAGTTGTTTTACGCTGAGTGAATCAGAAATCAAATGCCTCCCTCTGAAGAAACGCACACTATTATTCTGTTGTGCAAATTGTAAGCAAAGCATCTAAAGAGCAAATGCTGCCTTTTAAATGTTGAGAGGGTACGCTATTTGGATAAAGAAAATGCAAATGCTCTACTACAATGCACTATCAAGGACAAAGACGTGATTATATCCGACAAAAATGTAGCTTCCGCGCCAAGTAGGTAGGTATTTACTGAGGAAAACCACCTATTTAAAATATTATTTCTTCGAGTCTTAACTTTTTAAAAAAACGTTTACTGAATAATATTCTTCTGTTGTTCTTGGGTATGTTTGGACCAATGAAACCAAGTGGTTTTGTTTTTTAAGCTACGTTTCGAAAAATTTATTTTCTTCTTCAGGCATTGTAACCAATCGAAACAGGACAAATTATTGATAATTGGTTTCATTGGTCCAAACATACCCAAGAACAACAGAATAATATCTTCCTTACTGGACAAGAACTGTATAAAAGAATTTACTGAATAAAAATAAATGTTGCAACCTTGTATGCGCCGTGAAGCGTACTGAAAGGGTATAGAACCGAACGGGCAGTAGAGAAGCCTCTTCTCTATTATTAGGCATTAGAAAGACTAGAGAACAAGCTGAACTGTTCCCTTAGACGCGTGTCTGTAATTATTTATTATTCAATTTTCATTTTTATTTTGCATTAAATTGATTGTTAGTTCAATTATTTATACAAGTATCATTTTTTCCATTTTCATGTTTTTTTTTTTGTTTGTTTATAACATTTTTTATAACATGTGCATTGTTCATGTATTTAACAAAAATCGTTTCATGTTGTAAACAACACAGATAAAGATGTAAATTAGAACCTAAGAAATTATGTGCTGTCTTTTTGTGCTGAGATTTTGATTTTGTGGATTTAGAGCATGTATTAGGGCCTTGTTGAATTTACTAACATTTTCCTACCCTGACGAGAGAATATCCTAACAAATTGAAATAATCAATCTAGAGATATTGGCTCAAAAACAACTATAGCTGAGTAGCTTCCCGTATGGGACCTCAATACCTGCTGGGAAACTGGCTAACTAACAAAAACCTCTTCAGTATTGAATATAGGTAGTGTTGATTGAGTGTTGTGTGTGGAATTGAAATTTTGGCACAAAGACAAAAGGATATGCCTAATTTAAACTTTTATTGACTTAAATTATTGAATTATTGACTCATAACTATTATTAAAATGACACAGTATGTTTCGATTTTTGAGAAATGTAAGATCGAGTTTCTCTGCCGTGCTCTTTCTCCTCGTTAGTTCCAGGATGAGAACGGTACGATTTACTTTAATAATAAAGTAGACGTTTCACAAATTTTTCGTTTCTTCTACATATCACAACTTCCCTTAAATTTCCCAAATATTTGCTATGTCGGGCGCATGTCCAGTAGGTAAGTAAAATTGAGTAAGTTTCCACAACGTAGGTCCTATTTGTTGTTTAAAAGGTAATAAAAATGCACACCGTTCAATCTTGCTGAACGAACCCGGGTATGTTATACTACAGTACTCTATTATTTAGGTTCGATGGTGAATTTCGAGCGGTCGTATTTGATGGTAATTATTTCCTTGGGCAGCTACTGTAAAATAAAATTGTGGGGGCGGGTCTATTTACAAGACAGATTTATGGTTATCCGTTAATAATTATACTTTATTAATAAGAAAATAAACAGATTTTCATTTCCAAATTACAATGGTACAAATTTTCTAAACCCTAATCCAACACCTTTCTAAAAGAAATAAACAATTCTAAATTATGCAAACTTACAGCCACCTCTATCTATACTGTCTCTGAGTTTATAAACAAAATGTTGCAATTATTAGCTTTGTACTTCAATAACTCTTTTATAGAGCCCTACTACATTAGGTACAATAGTTTCAGCCCAAAACTCCTTATAGGTACACCTCAAAACAATAATTCATAACAGTTCTATAAGCGTATAAATTCCCTGAATTCGCTTACTGCCAAATGTTGTACAATACTTATAGGTACTAAAAAATCGTGTACTTAGCCAGAGTAAATACTATCAAAACAATGAACATTTTCATCTAGATTCATTTAATTAGATAGAGACCAAAATATCTAACTAATCATTTATTAAACGGAACAATAACAGTCCATTTGATTATCCAAACTCTTCAGTAAAAGTCATTTCAGTTAAATTTCTCTATATATACTAAGCACAAAAATATATTCAAAGTCATTTCACAATGATAAAGTCAAAAAAATATGCCACAACAGTACTTACACTTACATTCCGTCCTTAAAACACTAAACTAATCTAAAATAATTCTTTTGATTATTTAGAGCTCGCACATAATGTTGAAATAATTTAAATGTTCTTTCTTTCACGTTACCTACTGTTTCAAAATTCGATTTAACGCGTTTTCCCGAGGCAACAAAATAAAAGAAACTCTTCGCAAATTTTATCCGAACTAACTAATTAATCTTACTGTAGACTCAAGACTCAATACTCTAAGCTGGAATCATCTGAAGACTGAACTCAACTGAACTGATCTAAAGACTGATTTCAAAATTCCGAAACCGCTGTTTTCTTATTTTTTATTCCACCCAAAATATTTCGGGGCCACTTTACACAACACTGGCCGTTGACTGTTTTTTTCTAAGAGATATATTTATTTGTTTAAAACCGACTATGTCGTAATTTCGTGGATTATCGGGGTCAACAGATTGGTATAAGATTGTGAGGACATATTACATATCAATAAATCAAAAGATGCCGAAACTTGTGTCAGCCGTAAATCACCAATTTAATTACTTTTGTCTTGATTTTAATATTTTTTTGGATTTTATTCTGCCGGTGCAAGAACCTGGCTCGTCATTATCTATTATTTCAATTCGATGACACGCGCTTGATGACCAACTAATACAATTTGAACGTATTTTAATTAATTTGGGTCAATGCTAATTTGTTTCATTTTCAATTTATTGATAATCTACTGATAGGTACTGGAGATTCAATTTTTGATTATTCGATTACGTCTAAATTAACTGTTTTTGCATTTTTTTAAGACATTGTAAATTATGGGTCTATTTTTCCCGGGTCGTTACAAAGGGAAGATCATCAATCTAATAAGACAAACCTCTGCTATACCAACCTGCCTTCAAGACCCCTAGAAGTGTCAACGTTAACCAACAGGTTCTTAGCCCTGGAACGGTTTCGGATGCTTTTAAGCATGCTCAGGTAACTACACTCCTCGATAACTACATTAACCATGATAATAATGGTATTCATGCGGCTGACAAGAATGCAAAGGCTGGCTAGTACTCATCTGACCATTATTAAAGGGAACCAACTCAGTCTCTCAGCTGCAGAAGAATGTAAATGGTTTCATGTAAGTGACCTAAAGATTGACACAACTGAGGAGGCAATCACAAACCATTTAAAGAATAAAATGATTAACATATATCATCTCCTGTGAAAAGTTGCAGTCTAGAAATAATACTGCACCTTCATATAAAATTGCAGTCCAAACTCAAGATTCTGCGAAGGTCAATAATCCTGATATCTGGCCTACTAATATAATTGTAAAACCATTTATTTTTTTAGAGGTCCATTTAATCGATCTCAAAATTATCGAATGTAATACCACAAGAGGTTTCAGGATTACCGGATAATACTTTTACCTGTCACGAAACGACGCAGCAACACCACGACTCCGAAGGAGTGGTGTTGCTGGTAACGCGTTGAGTGTCAGGTAAAACTATTAGGTAATCCTGAAACATCGAGTGGTATTCAAAAGGTTATACAACGAACTAAACTTTAATACTTTAAAATTAAAAAAAAAAAAAAAAAAATCTATAATAGAATTTGCTATAAATGCCACCAAGCGCGATAATCCCAAAAGGCTTATCACTTATTAAGCCTCTCATGTCATATGGGAATAATGTACAGTGAACAGTTGTATAATCAGGGTAATTAGGTATATTGTTTTGCTAACTGAAGCATGGCTGAACAATGCTATCGGTGATGAGGAGTTGGGTTTTGATGATTACACTGTGTTTGGAAGTGGATCGACCGTTCAACTGATATTAGTGCTCATAAGCGTGGGGGTGGAGTTCTCACTGCGTTCAATAAGTCCTTGCCTGCCAAGAGGATACTAACCTGTTACATCAATGTGGAACATGTTTATGTTACGATCTCACTAACTGGCCTGATATATTGATAGGAAATGTTTATATATACCTCCTCAATCTTCAGTAGAGACTTACGAAGATTTTTGTGCTTCTCTTGATGAAGTTTTATTGAACAATCCATGTGATAGAATACTGATAAGTGAGGATTTTAATTTAGCTCATGTTCAATGGGA